CATATCCTCAAAGTTCTCATGTAGTCTCTTAAACCTCTTGATCTCTGTTAAGAAGGTTGGCCATTCCTCCAGATTAGTAAAGATGTCTACGAGGTCCGCACAGTCCGTCTCAATCCTCACCGACTTGATCCGCAAGTCTCTCAAACATGAGACTGCCCAGAATAGGCCTTCCATCTCTGCATGCAGAGCTGAACGGCTTCTCCTGCACGCCCGTCGTCCGACCCACTCATAGCCCATTTGATCCTTAAGACTCCACCCTAAGCCACTGACTCTGCCATGATCGATCCATGATGCATCAATTTGACAAGTCGGGGTTCGGGGGTTCCCAGGACAGTCTCAAAAGAGGGAGGTACTCCAAAGGCCTCATCGACTCTCTCTCTCATGTTCGCTTTTCTCCAACATTCTGCCTCAAGAGACGCATGTTGGAGAGTATCCATCGGGGATACGACTTTCCCAGTAAAGAGTTTGTTGTTCCTCGCCTTCCAGATGTACCAACAGATCCATGGGAAGGTGTCGAATTATGGTCTACGTGGAGCCACCTCTTTCCTCTTCCAAAAAAGGAAGTTTATATTTTGATATATAGATGTACTCGGGAAGACACCCGGAATGGACGGATAATCCGATAAAGCCCAAACCTGCATGAAAGGGAGGCACTCAAAGAGAAGGTTATTAATTGACTCCACTGGGCCATCACATCTAGGACAACTTCTATCGGTGCCCAGGTGTCTATAGGTGAGCCTTTTATGATGTCGCCACACAGCCTAAGATAGCTTGCCACAAAAAGTGATTCATCTTGTTTGGAGCCTCTATCCTCCACACATGGCTCAGGAGGCTTGGGATGCTCGGTTGGAGAACCAATTCCTGTTTAGGGCTTGTTTTGTTCGATTGAAGTAGGTCATAGCCGGTTTTACCTGAGTATACTCAAGTATTTGTGTGGTCCCAAACATATCCATCCGGAGCAGACGAACATGAGGGTTTTAGTCCAAGTATTAGAGGTATATCGTCTGGCTGGAAATATTCTCTTAAAAGCTGTGTATCCCACTCCTTTGTATCATTTCTAATAAGGGCTTGAACCGGGAGGCTAGAAAGTCTGTAGACAATATGATCGGCAGGCCTATGTGGTCAGGCCACTGAGTCGGGAATCCAGTGCTCACTCCATACCCTCGTATCTTGATCCATACCAATCCTCTTTGGTAATCCCGAAAGGAATAAAGGTTTTGTTGCCATAATACTACATCAGCCATATTAGGTGAGTATGTATGTCAATCTTTTAAAAGAGAGGTGTTGTAATAGTACCTTCTCTTTAGGACATGTGCCAATAATGATCTAATCAGGCTAAGAAAATATCAACATACGAAGCTCATCCACTTCAAACACCAGCGGCTGAAGTCCAAGTCTCTTGAACAATATTGTCTTCACTTCGATACAGTATCTTCAACACACACCGAACACAAACCAATCATCAACAAACATTATGTTAAGAAATGTCAGCAGAAACATCAAGATCTCAAGAACAGCAAAACCTACTTCTTGTCTCGTGACTTCTATCCTGTAGATCATACTTATTGGGCTTTTTTCTTTGTACAAAAGCTTTGTCTAATTTGCCTCTGTAAGGGCCTAATAATAGGGTTTATAGAAGTCCAAACAAATTATACCAACAAACAATAGAAATTTGTCTGGACCTTGTGGTCAATCTTCTCTTTACCAAATCTCTACAATATTATTTGAGAAGTCAGTTTCCTACGTGTCGTGTTCACGTTAACTCTCGCGATGGTTAATTACATAGTCACCATTAATGAACTGTTAGATTTTAAGATTACTACTATTAAAATTTTATTTAGTTTTTCTAACCTTTTTCCAATTAAAATATATAATAAAAAGGAAATATTTCTAAGATTTTAAAACAAATTTAAAAACGAAAATATATGTATATATTATGTCTTTATTAAAAAGGAAAGTTCACAAAATAGTAAACTCCCATTAATATATATTTTTAAATAACATAAAAATATTTTCAAAATAATAAAATATATATGTTCATAAACATTCAAAATTAATCAGTTACACTTTATTTTCTAATATTTTTTTTAGAAATCACCATATAATTTGATAAATATTATGAAAATACATGTATATCTAATAGATAAATAAAACTAATTTGATTTGACTTAACTATAATAAAGAGTAAATAAAAAATATGAAAATACATGTATATTTAAGCGATAAATAAAACTAATTTGATTTGACTTAACTAAAATAAAAAGTAATTATACTTCAATTTTATTTTAAAAATATATTTAACACAATATATCACAAAGTGAATGACTCGAATAATCTAATTTATATCCAAAATTAAACATCTAACTAAAATAAGAACATATAATTTTATAATAATAATAATAATAATAATAATAATAATAATAATCTATTTAATTTTATACATATAAATTAGAGGTTGACTCAAAGCATATTAAAAATAAAAATAAAATATTAACCAATTACAATTTAATTATTTTGTAGAATTTATATATATGAAAGAGACTTCAAAATATTATCATTATATTCATTTATGTAATTTTGAATCAAACACTTCAGCTTATTATTTATTTCATTTTAAGCATAATATATATTAAGTTATACATAATTTAACTATAATATATTTATATATCTAAGAATATATTTACATATCTAAGAAAATAACCAACCGAAATGAAAATAAAAAACTTAATCAAAGTTTTATTATATCTAGAATAAAAATATTATAGCTGAATTCGAAAAAAAAGAAGATATTATCCAATATACCAAATTGATAACTAAACCGACTATTGATCCAAAAAAATAATTAAACCGACAATAATATATCTAAAGTTATATGTATAATTAGAACAATATAATATTTATTAATATAAATTATACATATAAATTTATTCAAAACTAAAACTAAATATCAATCAATTATTATAAAATTTTACTTTTATAAATATTCATACATGTGCATGAGCACGGGAAAATCACCTAGTCTATACTATTATTTAAGAAGTAAATTTTCTTAGTTGTCATGTTCTCCATAAGTTTAGGTAATTTTGTTTATTTATCATATTTTTAATATTTATATATAATTTATTTATAAATAAACAAATTTATATGAATACATCCTATTTTTAGAAAATAAGATAATTCTTGTGAATTATGTTTATTTTGAAATATATTTTATATATAAAATTTAAATTTTAAATTAAGATATAAAAATTATTATATTTATTATATAACTAAAATGAGTTTATATTAATAATTTTAATTTTTTCCTAACGCAAGATAATTCTTATGTATTATATTGTTATGTTGAAAATATATTTTCGTATTATACAACTTCAAATTAAGATATAAAAAATTATTACTATATTTTTTAATAATTAAATATAAATCATCAAAACAATTATTTGAAAAGTGAATTTGTTGATTTGTCTCCATGATCTTAGGTAATTTTGATCATTTATCATAATTTCTGAAATCTTGTTTATTATTGAATATATAATTAAAACTAATTTATATTAGTAATATGATAGAAAATAAGTTAATACTTATGTATTATGTTATTATTGAAAATATATGTTTCTACTACAAAATTTAAAATTAACATGTAAAAAAAACTATACTATTACTTAAGAAATGAATTTGATGTTTGCTGATTTGTCATATTTTCCATGATTGTAGGTAATTTTTATAATTTATCATAATTTCTATAATTTTATATATAATTTATTATATATTTAAAACAAATTTATATTAATAGTATATGATTTTCAGAAAATAAGGTACTTCTTATATATTAAATTACTGTCTTGAAAATATATTTTTGTATTAGAAATTTAAAATTAAGATATAAAAATTTGTAGTTATTCTATAATTGAAATAAATTTACACTAATAATATTATGTTTTTAGAAAATAAGGTAATTCTTATGTCTTATGTTATTATCTTGAAAATATATTTTTATATTATATAATTTAAAATTACAAGAGAAAAATTATCTATTATTAATTAAATTTAAATCATCACTCAAGAAAATTATTAAGGAGTG